GTGAACAACTTGAAAAGAACTGAATTGTTTGAGATGGGAAACATTTGAGGAACAAGGTTTGACGGTATGACCCAAAGAGAGAACAAGAGAAATCCCCAGAAAAAGAATTAAATGAAATGGAAGCAACCAAGATACCAGATGCAGTGTTTAAAACAATGCTTATAAGAATGCCCAAGGGCCTTAGGAAGAGAACTGACGATCTCAGTGAGAACTTAGTGATATTACGTATTAAAAAGACATAGAATCCTGGCTGGTGTCCTCAGTGGTTAGAGCACTGGCCTGCACACACTGAAGGGTCATAGGTTTGATTCCCGGTCAAGGGCACATACCTAGGTTGCAGGTCCTATTCCTGGCCTGGTTGAGACATGTGTGGGAGGCAACCAATCAATATGTCTCTCTCACATTGATCTTTCTCCCCCCGCCCTTCCATTCTCTCTAAAAATCAATGGAAAAAATATCCTTGGGTGAGGATTAACAAAAAATTTAAAAAATAGAAAGGACATAGAAACCATAACAAAGAACCAGTCAGAAATGAAGAATACAATATCTGAAATGAAGAATATACAAGAAGGAATCAATAGCAGGTTAGATAAATCAGAATATCCTACTAGGACGGCTATAATCAAAAACAGAAAACTACAAGTGTGGTGAGGAGGCAGAGAATTTCAACCCCCCGTGCACTGCTACTGGTGAGAATGTAAAATGGCACAGCCGCTGTAGACAACAATTTGGCAGTTTCTCTAACAGTGACACACAGAACTACCATATGATACAGCAATTTCTCATTTAGGTATACACCCCAAAGCTGCAGCATTACTCACAACTGCCAAAAGATGGAAGCAACCCAGCTGTCCATCAAAAGGTGAACAGAAAGATATAAACACACTGTGGCATACAAGTACAATGCAATATTATTCACTCATAGAAAGAATAAAGTTCTGCCCAGCCAGCATGGCTCAGTTGGTTGAGTGTTGACCTGTAAAGCAAGAGGTCCTCGGTTCAGTTCCCAGTCAGGGCACATGCCCAGGTTGCAGACTCGATCCCCAATAGGGGAAGTGTAGGAGGCAGCTGATCAATGATTCTCTCTCATCATTGATATTTCTATCTCCCTTTCCCTCTCCCTTCCTCTCAGAAATAAATTAAAAACCTTTTATTTTTTTAAAAAAGAATAAAGTATGACACATGCTATATGACATGAATGAACCTTGAAGACATTACATTAATTGAGATAAGCCAGATTGAGATAGACAAATATTTTATGATTGCACTTATATGAGGTATGTAGAGTAGTCGAATTCATAGAGACAGAGTAGAACAGAGGATACCAGGGCTGGGAGGGAGGCAGTGGAGAAAGAGGAGTTATTGTTTAATGGGTACAGAGTTTTTGTTTGGTCTGATAAAAAGTTCTGGAAATAGGTAGTGGTAATAGTAACACAATACTGTGAATGTATTTAATGCCACTGAATTCCACACTTAAAAACGGTTAAAAGGTCAATTTTATGTTTACCATTTATGTTTATGTGGTAAATTTTACCACATTTTTAAAAAGTCAGAAAACTACAAATAACAAAAAACTAATAATAGTCATTTTGTCACACACACTAGCACATTCAAAGGCCTCCTTATTCCATGTTTTATTCTACATCTGAAGACACATTTATGTGGGCTCCTTTCAGGGCAGGGAGACAGCCAGCAACTTTCAAGATGAGCCCTGTGAAGACAGAGGTATACCAGTTGTCTCTTCTCCTCCCCACCTGAGCCTGGACTTGGAAAGTAGCCAGACTTTTTTTTCTTTTAATATATTTTGATTTTTTACAGAGAGGAAGGGAGAGGCACAGAGAGTTTGAAGCATCGATGAGAGAGAAACATCGATCAGCTGCCTCCTGCACACCTCCCACGGGGGATGTGCCCGCCACCAAGGTACATGCCCCCAACCGGAATCAAACCCGGGACCCCTCAGTCCGCAGGCCAACGGTCTATCAACTGAACCAAACCAATTAGGGCAGTATCCAGACTTTTTAATGTATTTATTCACTCCACCTTCTAAGCTTGCACACCCGCTACAGGATGCTGTATACTACACTGAGTCCTACACTCTACCAGGATCCCCACTGAGACCCTACACTGGTCAGAGAAGTCCTTGCCAAGTAGTCTAAGTACATACATCACACATACACACAAAATAAAGGAAATTCACCTGCAGGACTTCTAAGGAAACTGGTTAAGTCTATGGAAGTCTTTATCAACCATTTCCATTCAGACTGATGTCACGGTAATAAAGCTAATGGGAGGTCTGACAGAAGCACTATAATGGGCACATCTACAACTTGTACTGAACCCTTCCTTAACCATGATCTGACTTCCAGCCTCGGGCACCAATTTCCTCAGGTCCCAGACTTGTGGTGCTTGGTTGGTACTCTAATTTCAGAGTGCCAAGTGGAATAAGTGAAAACACAGGGCTATATGAATATCTGGATGAGAACTCCTTACAACATTAGGCTTCTCCCAATTCATGCCATGAGCAGACAGAACCAGAGCCATCCACGAGGGTCCACTCCTTCCAGACCCCACAGGTAACAACTTCGATTGGGAACAAGAGGCCTGCTCAGACCACCTGTGAGGGGCAGGGCATGGGAGGAGTCATCTCACTGCAGGCCTGGCAGGTTTCACACCTTTATACAAAAGCTGACCACACCACAGAGAGAAGAGTTCCTTAACTTAAATATAAGAGCAATTTTTAAAAAATTAAATTTTAAAAATACATGTACCATTGTACTGCTTTTGTTGATGGTTTTAAAATTCATCAGAGACCTCAAACACTGTCAAGTACCTGCACATACTTTTTAAACTGCCTTTCTTTAAATCTCTGGATGCAAAAAAATTTAAAGAACCCATGTTTTCTCCTTGACCCTCACACGAAAACAGAATATTAGTAAGGCTAGTGCCCTGACTGGTTTAGCTCAGTGGATAGAGCATCAGCCTGCGGACCAAAGGGTCCGGGGTTCGATTCCGGTCAAGGGCATGTACCTTGATTGCAGACACATCCCCAGTAAGGGGTGTGCAGGAGGCAGCTGATCGATGTTTCTCTCTCATCGATGTTTCTAACTCTCTATTTCTCTCTGTAAAAAATCAATAAAATATATATATATATATATATATATATATATATATATATATATATTTTTTTTTTTTAAATATATTTCATTGGTTTTTCAGAGAGGAAGGGAGAGGGATAGAGAGTTAGAAATATCGATGAGAGAGAAACATCGATCAGCTGCCTCCTGCATATCCCCCACTGGGGATGTGCCCGCAACCTAGGCACATGCCCTTGACCGGAACCGAACCTGGGACCCCTCAGTCCGCAGGCCGACGCTCCATCCATTGAGCCAAACCGGTTGCGGCTAAAATATTTTTTTTTTTAAAAAAAAGAAAGGCTAGTCACTCCTTGAAACTGACCTTAAGTACTTTTCCTGAGATATACATTCAAAATATGTATTTATCATGTTCCTTCATGTAGGAGTTTTCAGTAAGAACTCTTGCTATCCTTAGCACTTCCTTCTTAATCTCATCTATCTACTAACTAGCTAAACTACAAACATTCACAGGTTGGGCCCAGTGTCATTTCTCTCCATACACCACTAACCCCACTTCAGCAAGAAAAAATCCTGTGTCTAGAGGCAGCACAAACTAATTACATTAGTTAGCTCCCATTACCTTATCAAACAACCAAAAAAGAAATGATACCATGCTAAAAAACGTACAAAAACACATCCTCAATTTTATTCACCAATAATCAGGCCCATGCAGTACAGATGGACCAATTTCTGCCTCCATGAATTTTAAATTGCTTTTTACAACTTTTCTCTGGCTCTGATGAGCTAATGTTTCACAATATGCTGGCTCGTGAAATTCAAGCAACTGAGCCTTCCCTTAAGCTCCTTCATTCAGCCTCGGCCATAAACCACACATTGCCTACAAGAGTCTACTTAAAAGAAAAATGAAATTATCCTAAAATGTCACACAGTAGAAACTTCTTATAAACGTATCTGAGGCTGCCACGGTAAGGGACACCTGCATGGGTTTTTGCTCACACAGGACACCCGGAGCCCACAGCCGCAGTGTCATGCTGAAGGCAGCAGCACCAGAAGAGAGGTGTGAACGCGTTCCCTGACGTGACCTTAAGGAGTGATACAGATGCACTCCCACTCTCACACGTGGTGGTGTCTATGGGAAGTGAAGTGCATCCTCCTTTGTTCTTGCCAGTGGCCTAGCAGATGAGAAGGAAACCTGTGGTGCGGGGACTCTGGTACACACTAGTGTACATCATTACACGGCATGCGTTTCAATCCAGGAGGCCCTTTTCATGGTATTTGTTCTATGAAACAGTGGGCTTTATTCTGAGTTTATAAAGGACCCAGAACAATGTAAGGAGAGTTCTCCTACCCATCATTGTCAGATACAGCTTCCCAATTCAAGTTTGTAATATTTCAAAAAACAATAGTTGGAGCACATCAATGATTCTTCTGACTTTCTTTATTCAAAAATAAAAGAGGCACAAAAATATAGAACTAAAATGTCCAATGGCATGTGAACTAGCAAGTCACCATAGTTTAAAGGTAAACTTGCATTTGGGGCATTAGTTATAATTACTAGAGAAAGAATGAACTGTTTTTCAATTAAATGTATCTCAGGGCTGGTGGTTACTTCATCTCCCATTTTGGGGGGACTCACAGGTCTCAGAAAGTCCCCTGAGCAGCAGGAGCCCTCTAAGAAGCCAGCACAGCTGACACGGCTGCTGCGACAGGATGGGTTCTTTTTCGGGCTCCGCTTGGCAAGATTAACTCACCACCCACAAGTACCTTCACTCCCAGGGGGAGATGTGTGGATACATATTCATTCACGTCCATCTCTAGTCAAGAACGTCTGGCCAGCTCTAACACATGGCCCTCGGTGATGGTTCAGAACACCAAGTGGGGGCCTGGGAAGGAGGAGGGACATGCCTACGCATCACACTCCAGAGCTCGGAGGTCGTCCAGGAGCTCCTGCGCCACGGCCTGCAGGCGGGGGTTGCGGCTCTTGGACATGGCCAGGATGCGCTGCAGGGGCAGGGAGCTCCGGAGCTCAGAGGCCAACTTGGAGAAGACTTCTGGCTCCAGAACCACTGACTGGACAAGTCGCAAAACATGAAGACACACCTCTGCGTCTGGATCTAGGGGCAAGAGGTAACACTCTGGTTAGAATGAAACTCCTAATCTTGAGGTAGAATCTAACCCTCAAGGGTTCTTGAATTTTCTGAATGACAGGTTTGACAGTTTTGAAAATTATGAGCTGAACTAGAAATTGCATCAATTCTTGATGTAAAAACTTAGCTCATAAGAGCAGCATGAAAAACCTCAATCGTCATCTATTTAGTAATATCCCGTCTTCAAATATTACAACCACATAACTTTAAAATGCTGAAAAATACGAGGGCTTTTCATGTTGTTGACGGTAATTCTATCCACTTGCAACACTGTTTTCAAAGGTATTATTACACTTTCACTGCAATAAATCCCTCAGAAACCACATATGGATGTGGCATCTGTGCAGGACACTGAGTTCCAGAGTCACAGGCCACAGCACTCACATTGTATTCCACTTTTCCCACATGAAGTACAGAACCGAGTAGCCCTGCATATATTGTAGCAACCATTTAAAAAGCTAGACTGAAACAACAGTCCAACACAAAGTTTTACCCTTAACCAGGTGGACCCAGCTCTCCTTATCATTTCTCCCTACCTGGAGCCTTTACTTCTTGATTGGATACTGTAACTGGAACCGGGCTCAAAATCAGTACCTCTTTCTTAGCACTGTTCTTAAAAAGCCTTTTAAGTACGTGAATGGAAAGAGTGGACTGAGCAAACCTTCACTGGGACCTGCCACAATACCAAGGCCCACCCAGAGCTTTCCCTATTGAATCAGAGCCCTTGGGGCATCGTAAGGACTGCTGGGCTAGGGCAGGAGAAAAGAGAGCCCTGCTGCACCCTGGGCAGGGCAGGGATGTCCAGTTTCAACTCCAATAGGTAACGAGCTTGGAAACTGTCACCCCACCCATATAACAAGAAAAGAGGAATAAACTGAGAATCAAAGACTTTTCTTGAAATGAGGTTGCAGGGTAATGACAGCCAACATCAGTTTTCCTAGACAGAAACCACTGGAGCCTAAACGGATAGGATCATTCTGACAAACTGCTGGAAGCTGGGTATGGAATACCACGATAGTAAGAAACTTCTGGGGGTGTGGCAATCTTAGGGGGACCTCCACATTCTTGTGGGTTTGATCTCCAAGAACCCCAAAAGGTTCTCACATGGTCTGGCAGAGGGCAATGAGGAGTGACCGTTCTGAAATACATCTAGTTTGCTTCCCATGACAAATTTTTTTTTTTTTCCAGAAGAGACTAAAGTCTCTTCACACAACAAGAACTACAGGAACTACAAAAACAAAGGATGATAGCTGGGAGACTGAAAGGCACAGACTCTATCTAAGGAGGAATTCTTAGGGAAACCCAAAGGAAACAGGGGAAATGGTGAGAACAACTGGAATATGAAGCCCCTGGAGCCTCCATAGAACACAGCCCAACCCCTAGCCAGATTAACATAAAACCGCACACGGAAGTCCTATTTACCCAGTAAATAATGTCTATCCTTCAACCAAAAATTACAAGGCACACTAAAAGGAAAAAGCACAGTCTAAAGAGACAAACCAGGCATCAGAACCACACTCAGATAAGACAGAGATTTTGGAATTATCAGATAGGTAATTTAAAATAACTACTAGAGGCACGGTGCACAAAATTCGTGTACTCAAGGGGGGGTTCCCTCAGCTCAGCCTGTGCCCTCTTGCAGTGCGGGAGCCCGTGGGGGATGTCTGACTGCCACGGAGGCGGGAGAGGCTCCTGCCATCATCGCCGCTCTCGTCAGCCGTGAGCCCAGCTCAGAGCTTCTGGCTGAGCTGCGCTCCCCCTGTGGGAGCGCACTGATCACCAGAGGCAGCTTCTGCATTGAGCATCTTCCCCCTGGTGGTCAGTGTGCATCATAGCGACCAGTCGTTCTGCCGTTCAGTCGATTTGCATATTAGCCTTTTATTATATAGGATGATTTGGCCTGGCCAGCGTGGTTCAGTGGTTGAAAGTCAACCTATGAACCAGGAGGTCACAGTTCAATTCCTGGTCAGGGCATATCCCCAGATTACGGGCTTGATCCCCAGTGTGGGGCATGCAGGAGGCAGCTGATCAATGATTCTCACTCATCACTGATGTTTCTGTCTCTCCCTCTCCCTTCCACTCTAAAATCAATAAAAATATATTTAAAAATAAAATAACTATAATCAGGATGCTTCAGGCTCTGTATTAATCAGCTGCCAAAACAAAATAGTACAGACAAGGTGGCTAACACAATAGAAATATATTTTCTCACAATTCTGAAGGCTGATAGTTCAAGATCAAGGTGTGTCAGCAAGGTGGGTTTCCCTAAGGCCTTGTCCTACAGATGGCCTTTTCTCTGTCCTCACACATGCCTGGTGTCTCTCCTATGTCCTAATCTCTTCTTGTAAGAACACCTGTCAGATTGGATTAGGATCCACTGTAAAGGCATCGTTTTAATTGCTTTTTTAGAGGCCCTAGTTCCAAATACAATCAGAGATACTAGGTAGGTTAGGGCTTTAGCATATGAATTTTCAACAATTCAGCCCATAACAGGCTCTAATGCAAGAATAGAAGAACAATGTAAACAGAGAGATGGAAACTACAAAAAAAAGAATCAATTTCAGCTTAAATATTCTCTCTTCAGAGAGTCATTCCCTTACCACCAATGAAATTACCCTGTCACCCATCACCCTGTCTTAATTCTCTGAATACCAATTATTCTATGGAGTTATCTTCTCTCCTCCCCCACTGAAAAGCTACAGGAAAGCAAAGACCTGACTGTCTTGCCCATCACTCTATCTCCAATACAACAAATATCTGCTGAATGAATGAGATGATTGTATTTTATGTGGTCAAGGCTGATGTAATATAAATGAGAAGGAAATTTCTGAACAAATAAAATAATTAGGCAAGCTGCAGAGACAGCAGTGTAGCCCTTTAAAAAGGGCCAAGTAAAACAAGCCACTGGAGGTCATAAATGAGACACATGCAGTCAAGGGTGCAGCCCTACAGGAACAACTTCACGGTGACATCATCATAAGGAAACAGTTCAGTGACAGCACTGGAAGGGAACACAGACTAAGGGAAAGGGCAAATGGCTTGTAATATAAGCACCCAAACTGTACAGGGGGAGAATAACATGGAACTCAGGTTCATTTGGGCCACAGATTAACAAATGCTGAGTTATAATGATACAATTTCTCTTTTAAAACAACCATGGAAAACCTAATTACTTGAGATTGAGAACATCCCCACAGATGGCTCAATTTTGGGTTTAGAAATGGGTAAAGCAACTTGACTGAGAAAGGCATCCACCAACACAGACATGACACAGATGTCAGGATTACTTGACAGGAGTTTTCAAGAGCCTCCACAAAAATTCTTAACATGCTGGAAACAGATGAAAAAATAGAAAGTCTCAGCAAAGAAATAGAAGACATAAAGAACAAAATGGAAACATTATAACTGAAAAATACAATAACTGAAATTAAAAACTTGATGGAGACAGAATGGAGGAGCCGGAGAAAAGAATCGGTGAACTGGAAGATGGGACAACAGAAATTACCCAATCTGAATGACAGGGAAAAACAGAGCCTCTGTGTCCAGTGGGACTATGACAAAAATCGAACACTCATGTCTTTGCAATTCTGGAAAGAGAGGGAAAGTCAGCAGGGCTGGAAAATACTCCAAGAAATAATGGCTGAGATTTTACTCTATTTGGCAACAGATACAAACCTACAGATCCAATAAGCTGAGCAAACGCCAAACAGGATAGACCTTAAGAAATATGTGCCAAGACACATCACAGCCAAACTTCTGAAAACTAAAGACAAAGTCTTGAAAGCAGCAAGAGAGAAATGACACCTCATTTTAAAAAATATATTTTATTGATTTTTTACAAGGGGAAGGGGAGGGATAGAGAGTTAGAAACATCGATGAGAGAGAAACATCGATCAGCTGCCTCCTGCACATTCCCTACTGGGGACGTGCCCGCAACCAAGGTACATGCCCTTGACTGGAATCGAACCTGGGACCCTTGAGTCCGCAGGCCGACGCTCTATCCACAGAGCCAAACCAGTCAGGGCATGACACCTCATTTATGGGAGAAAAACAATTTAATGATACTAGGTTTCTCATCAGAAACCAAGGAGGTCAGAAGAAAGTGACTCAGTATTTTCCAGGTGTTGAAGCAAAAGAATTGTCAACTCAGAATTCTTTACTTAGGGAAAATGTCCTTCAGAAATGAAGGGGAATTCAAGACATTCTCTGTTTAAGAAAAATTAAGAGAAGCTGCTGCAGACCTACTGTAAAAGAACGGCGGGTCACACAGAAACTCATACAGGAGTGTTCATAGACGCATTTATCAGTAACAGTCTGTTGAGAGCGTAGCTCAGCTATTCCGTGGTATTACTGCCTCACCTTCCCTTTTGTTTGGCCCAGCAGGGCCCTAAACTAACACTGGCCCTCATGCAAGGTATGTCCTAGATAATAGCTCGGAAAGTCACAAGCAAACATATGTCCTGATACAATTTCTCCAGTATCCTAAGACCAACAGTCTCCCCTGCCTCCCAGCGGCTTCCCCTACGTGCCCCTTAGATAAGACCTTTGTGGGGCTTACCCAAACCCCACTCTTTTGGTTGGAATTGACGAATCCAGTCTTAGTCTAGGAATCTCAAAGCACTCCACCCTCAGACCCTAATAAAGGCATGAATGAGCCCCAGGTCCTGCTCCCTGTGTGCACTCTGCCCTGACCTCCTGGTGTGGCCCCTCCAAGTGTGTAGGGTACCTCCTCCAGGACCTGTGACTAATAAACTCTTTTTCAATTCCCCTTGCGATCCATTGTTGAACCACAGCTCACCATCCAGCAACCTGCATTTACCAAGTTTTAACTTGACAATTTACCCAGTCTAAAAGTGGAAACAACACAAGCGTCTAAGGGATGAATGGATAAACAAAATGCGGTACATCTATACAATGGAATACTATTCAGTAATGAGAAGGAATGGATATTCCTTGAATACATGCTA